CTTAGCTATAGAGGGCAGCGTCACTCGCCCTCATATGTGGGATCCGAACCAGGGCCCTCTGGCGTCCCAAGCCAGTTCTTAACCATTGCGCCACTTGGCCGGCCCCTTGACAGCATTTTTGAATCACCTGTAGGACCCGTAATAAGTGCTTTATGCTGCGGCTCCAGTTCCAGGAATTTTGTTGTAATTGTGCCATGGCCTGAGTAATGGGATTTTTAACAAACTTCTCAAATGATTCCAGATTGTATCTAAGATTCACAATCACTGCCCCAATGCATTTGTTTTTTCCCAAATGGGACAATTCACAAAAATCACGAAAGACAGTATATTCATTATAACTTATCAAACCATTTCAAGGACAAATTGAGATTACTTTTGAGGAGAGGAGTCATATGTAACAAGAGTATTCCTGACCAAAGTGATAACTTTAGCCCACTCTTTCATAAATCAATCTTTATTTCTTATAAATCACACACAACAGATAAGATCTGAACTGATAAACATGCAGCTCTATGCTGATTACGTAGTCGATGTAATTAACCTTTTCGGGTGCCTGATAGATCATAACCCATGAGTAGATTGGTCAGAACCATGGAACGCAGCGTCTGTGGGTCTCACCTGAGCTGTGTGATGTAGCACCTCCTTCTCAACATTCCAGAAAGCATGTAGTACACCAGCTAACATTTTTGATTAATAGTTTAATAAACCCAATAAACATTTTGTTTTTTTAAAACCCCTCCAGTACGAATTCTTGTCATCAGAGGAACTTTCCATTTTTTGCACCATATCTAGGGTGGTTGACGGAATTGGAATAGTCATGGGAGGGAAGGAAGAGAAGAACTTCAGAGGAGCTCAGGAATATGGAGCTAGCTTGATTTTTTAGCTCACATTCCTAATGATGTCTTTCCTGGAAACCTCTTCTCCTGCACCCCCTTTCAGGAAGTGTGAGATAAGCAGTCGAAGACATGTGCAGTTCTCTGAGGAGCAAATGAGCAGAGATGGAAGGATGATTTCAGGGCTGGCTGCTGTTGGACCACCTGGGGCCTCTCTACACCCTTTCGTTTAGCTTGTGCAATAACCAGCAGAACTGTACCTGGAAGGACTGGGAGCAAAGAGCTATCTCCGGAGGAGCTTCAGCTTTCAAGTAGATGACTAGATAGGGAATGGAGTGAATGCGAAAAGGGCAAACACATCATCATCTTCTGTAATATGCTTGCATTCTTATTTCCATCCATCCCCATCTTACCGCATAATGCTAGCTTAACAATGAAATCTTTTTCTTAAAAATCTGGTGTTTCATTTTAAGCATGGAAGGCAACCAATAGCCCCTCCACCCACATGATGGTATAAATCTAAGTTTACAAAACTGATAGACAAGATTAGCAGAGAATTAAAATATCAAAGACAAAAAATCATCCATGTAACAATTATGGAAATGTGTCAACATCCTGCCCTAAGCATTAATGATTGCATCTTAATAATACTAACAGTTATTGAGCACTTAATGGGCTAAGCACATTTTTAATTTACATGAATTTTTATGTAAACCTCACTAAAACCCTAGAGAGAGGACCTATTGCTATCTTGATTTGCAAATGTGGAAATTGAGGCTTAGAGGGGGACATTATCTGCCCAAGGTCAAGGCCAGGATGGAAACTCAGACATCTAGGTTCCAGAATCTAGACTTTAACCACTACACACCTATACACAAAATTATTTGAATCGATTGGGGGAAAAAATGCAAGCATCTGCATTTCTGGGAAGAGTGGCCCAGTATGGCCGCAAGTTAAGTGGAGGAACCTTTGGAAAATCTCATTCATATCCCCCACTTAGGAGCGTGTAAAGGATCGGGCTTGCCAGGACACAATATGGAAAACGTTCCTCACTTCCTTAGGCAAGCAAGACCGAGCGGGCCCTGCCGGACCAGCCTGCTGCCGGGCGCTGGGACTGTGCAGCCGTAAACCTGCAGCCGTTCGGGTCGCAGAGGGGGTGGCCTGCAGGTGGGGCACCAGCGGGGCAGCGGTGGCGGTGCTGCCCCTGGTGGCTGGAGCTGTGCCAGCCTCAGTCTCCTCCTGTGCGCTGGGCCCAGAGGGCCGACCTAGGCCCGGTAACAACTGAGGATAAAGTCAACCTAGTATGTTTCTAGGTACTTGTGCGAACTGGAGAAATACAAGGACTGAAAACTCCCGAGCGTGTTTCCTCATGTTGGGACAATGTGGAGCAACCTGCAGAGACCAGACGCCTGCTGTTGACATGCTGCTTTCTGAGGCTCCGTGTGCATTTGCTGTCGTCTTGTGCAAGGCGACCTTCTTGTTGGCTGAACAAATAAGTGGTCTGATTGAGTTTGAAGTATCATACTGTTGATAATAAAGGATTCTCAACATTGGACTTCAAGCGCTGTTTATACACGTACATAATGTCGCTCCTGTTGACATTTCTTTTTGTGTTGTATATCGCTGTCATGTCAGACTTAGAAGTCTTAGTTTTAAAACTTAGGTCAAACCCTAAAAGCGGAGAGAGTGTTACCACCATTCATGTAAGACCAACAGTCCAGTGAGCAGGAAGAAGGTAAGTGATGAATTTCGGTGTAGGGAAAACGCTCACTTCTGGCAGTCTCTGAAGGGCTCAAGTATGTATATTGCCAAGCCATGTTATTTACAGATTTAGTTATTCCTGAAACATGGGATTTGGGTTTATGATCTCGCTGTCTATATCTTGTTCTGTAGCATGTAAATGTATTTCAACAATATTTGCCAATAGAAATAATTGAACAACTGCTGCTAGGTGAAGAGTGTCTAATCCCAGTTCTCATTTTTACTAGTCATTACCTTGGGTTCCAAACACTGTCTCTGAGTTTCAATTTCCTCGTGTGTAAAATGGGGATGATAATAAATCAATTGTTGTGAGGAAAAAATGAGCAGGTGCTAAAATTAAAAAAAAAAAATCCCTAGGAATAGCCTTAGCCAGGACCAGCAGCAGTAAACAAGAATATGAGTAGAAGAAAATAATTGCCACATCAGACAAAAACCAATAAACTGATCCTTGATATAGGAGTTTAAACAAAATAAGTGAGAACAGAGAAAAAGCTCCCCAGCACTGGTTGCCACAGCCTTAGAATCTTACTCCTGCAACAGTGGAATGAATAACCCATCAGCACACATTCCTAATTATGCATAATATACACATAATTATACATAATAGGAGGAAATGAATGGAGAGTGAGTAAATGCACAAAATAGCTTGATTAACATGCCAAGAACAATCTGTACGAAATGACCAAAGGACTGGTTTTTATTTGTTAAAGAGATAAAAGAAGCAATGGAAACTATTAGACAAAACAGGACATAATGGGAAAAGACTAGGAAAATTAAAAAATACTGAAATATAAATCCAAGAAGTTAAAAAAATGTGATTTTTAAAATAAAAATCATAATATATATGATAAAGAAAAGACTAGATATAGTTGAAGAGAGGTAGATATTTAGGATACAACACAGGGAAATGAAGAGTTGGAAAATATGAAGAAAAAATTAAAAGATGCGGAAATAGAGAATGAAACGACCCATATATGAGTTCCAAAAGGATAGAGAATTGAGGATTAATGATGTTTGAAAACAAGTTTGATGGTCTGGAACTTTAGATAATTTATGAAAACATGGGTTTTCAGACGGAAAGAACTATCTCAGTCCTAAGACAAATAAAAACAAATCCATTCATAAAACTATTTCTAATCAATAAAGGGAAATAGAGGGGAAAAGATGTCAATTTAATACAAAGGCAGAAAAAGAATGAAACAAATGAAGCAAAGAAAAATTATTGTAAAAATGAAACACAAAAAAAGATGATGGAGATAAGATAAAATATACCAGATATCATTATAAAAATAAATTCACATATGTAAGAGACTCAAATTGTTAAAAAAATATATATGTAAATGTATTCCATTTTTACTAGACATAAAACATATAATCACCCAGAAAGGTAAATACATTTTAGGAAAAAAAATGTCTAGGAAATAAATGCTTGTTGATTAATAAACAAAAATGTATTTAACATGCAGAGTATAAGTAGGGATAAAAAGAAATAAAGCATAGAGACAAAAGGAATGTTCCCCCTCCCCAAAGTAAGAAAATTAAACTTTATATATCATGGTCTCAAAATATTTGAAGCACATTTA